GGCGACTATAATCTTGGGGAACACTGTGACTAGTGGGGATCTGGGTGTGGCGACTGTAATCGTGGCGAACACTGTGACTTGTGGGGGTCAGGGTGTGGCGACTGTAATCGTGGCGAACACTGTGACTTGTGGGGGTCAGGGTGTGGCGACTGTAACTTAGGGAGCACTGTGAGTTGTGGGTGTCAGGGTGTAGCGACTCCAGCTTTGGGAACACTGTGACTTGTGGAGGTCAGGGTATGGCGACTGTAACTTAGGGAGCACTGTGAGTTGTGGGTGTCAGGGTGTGGCGACTCCAGCTTGGGGAACACTGTGTCTTGTGGAGGTCAGGGTATGGCGACTGTAACTTAGGGACCACTGTGAGTTGTGGGTGTCAGGGTGTGGCGACTCCAGCTTTTGGAACACTGTGACTTGTGGAGGTCAGGGTGTGGCGACTCCAGCTTTGGGAACACTGTGTCTTGTGGAGGTCAGGGTGTGGCGACTGTAACTTAGGGAGCACTGTGAGTTATGGGTGTCAGGGTATGGCGACTCCAGCTTTGGGAACACTGTGACTTGTGGAGGTCAGGGTATGGCGACTGTAACTTAGTGAGCACTGTGAGTTGTGGGTGTCAGGGTGTGGCGACTCCAGCTTGGGGAACACTGTGTCTTGTGGGGGTCAGGGAGGGCGATTATAACTGAGGGAACACTGTGAGTTGTGGGTGTCAGGGTGTGGCGACTGTAACTTTGGGAGCACTGTCAGTTGTCGGCGTCAGGATGTGGCGACTATAACTATGGGGACACTGTTAGTTGTTGGGGTCTGTGTGTGGCGACTCCAGCTTGGGGAACACTGTGAGCTTGGGGAACACAGTAAGTTGTGGGGTCAGGGTGTGGCGACTATAATTTGGGGAACACTTTGACTTGTGGAGGTCAGGGTGTGGCGACTCCAGCTTGAGGAACACTATGCGTGTGAGGGTCAGGGTGTGGCGACTGCACCTTGGGGAACACTGTCAGTTGTGGGTGTCAGGGTGTGGCCACTATAAGTTAGGGAGCACTGTGACGTGTGGGTGTCAGTTGTGGGGGTGTGGCGACTATAATTTGGGGAACACTGTGACTTGTCGAGGTCAGGGTGTGTCGACTCCAGCTTGGGGAGCACTGTGAGTTGTGGGTATCAGGGTATGGCGACTATAACCTGGGGAACACTGTGAGTTGATTGGGTCTGGGTGTGGCGACTATAAAATTTTTGGGAACACTGTGACTTGTGGAGGTCAGGGTGTGGCGACTATAATTTGGGGAACACTGTGACTTGTGGTGGTCTGGGTGTGGCGACTATAATATTGGGGAACACTTAGACTTTTGTTGGTCAGGGTGTTGCGACTATAATCTTGGGGAACACTGTGTCTTGTGGGGATCTGGGTGCGGCGACTGTAATCGTTGCGAACACTGTGACTTGTGGGGGTAAGGGTGTGGCGACTGCAGCTTGGGAACACTGTGTCTGGTATAGCGACTGTAAGTTGGGGAACACTGTGATTTGTGGGGGTCTGGGTGTGGCGACTCCAACTTGGGGAACACTGTAAGTTGTTGGGGTCAGGTTGAAGCGACTGTAAGATGGGGAACACTGTGAGTTGTGGGGGTCTGGGTGTGGCGACTATAATCTTGGGGAACACTGTGAGTTGTTTGGGTCAGGGTGTGGCGAATGTAATCGTGGCGAACACTGTGTCTTGTGGAGGTCAGGGTATTGCGACTCCAGCTTGGGGAACACTGTGAGTTGTGGGTGTCAGGGTGTGGCGACTATAACTTGGGGAGCACTGTCAGTTGTCGGGGTCAGGATGTGGCGACTATATCTTGAGGGACACTGTCAGTTGTAGGGGTCAGGATGTGGCGACTCCAGCTTGGGGAACACTGTGAGTTGTGGGTGTCTGGGTGTGGCGACTATAATTTGGGGAACACTGTGAGTTGTGGGGGTCAGGGTCAATTTCCACACACCGATTTTAGCACTGCGACTATTGAAACCAGATTCAGCTTTGTGTCAGGGCTTTGCGAATAGATCCAGTTTTGGGGAACTTTGTGAGTTGTGTGGGTCATGGCGTGGCGGCCAGTTGGAGTGTTGGGGAATCTATGTGATTTGTAATGGACAGGGCGTGGAGACCAGATGCAGTATTGTGGCACTATGTGAGTTGTAAGGGACAGGGCGTGGAAACCAGATGGAGTATTGGGGCACTATGTGAGTTGTAAGGGACAGGGCGTGGAGACCAGATGCACTATTGGGGCACCACTAGAGTTGTAAGAGACGGGGCGTGGAGACCAGATGCAGTATTGGGGCACTATGTTGGTTGTAAGGGACAGGGCGTGGAGACCAGATGCATTATTGGGGCACCATGTGGGTTGTCTGGGTGAGGGCGTGGAAACCAGATGCAGTATTGGGGCATTATTTGAGTTGTACGGGTCAAGGCGTGAAACCAGATGCAGTATTGGGCACTATGTGGGTTGTGTGTGTGAGGGCGTGGAGAGCAGATGCAGTATTGGGGCATCATGTGAGTTGTAAGGGACGTGGCGTGGAGACCCGATACACTATTGGGACACTATGTGAGTTGTAAGGGAGAGGGGGTGGAGACTAGATGCAGTATTGGGGCACTATGTGAGTTGTACGGGTCAAGGCGTGAAGACCAGATGCAATAATTGGGGCACCATGTGAGTTGTAATAGACGGGGCGTGGAGACCAGATGCAGTATTGGGGCACTATGTGAGTTGTAAGGGTCATGGCGTGGAGACCAGATGCAGTATAGGGGCACCATGTGATTTGTAAGGGACGTGGCGTGGAGACCAGATGCACTATTGGGGCACTATGTGAGTTGTAAGGGGCAGGGCGTGGAGACCAGATGCAGTATTGATGCACTATGCGAGTTGTAAGGGTCAGGGCCTTGTGTCTAGATGCAGTATTGGGGCACTATGTGAGTTGTAAGGGACGGGGCGTAGCATCTAGATGCAGTATTGGGGCACTATGTGAGTTGTAAGGGACGTGGCGTGGAGACCAGATACACTAGCGGGGCACTATGTGAGTTGTAAGGGACGTGGCGTGGAGACCAGATGCACTATTGGGGCACCATGTGAATTGTAAGGGACAGGGCATCGAGACCAGATGGAGTATTGGGGCACCATGTTGGTTGTGTGGTTCAGGGCGTGGAGATCAGATGCAGTATTGAGGCACTATGTGAGTTGTAAGGGGCGGGGCGTGGAGACCAGAAGCAGTATTGGGGCACTATGTGAGTTGTAAGGGTCAGGGCGTTGAGACAAGAAGCAGTATGGGGGCACCATGTGAGTTGTAAGGGACGGGGCGTGGAGACCAGTTGCAGTATTGATGCACTATGTGAGTTGTAAGGGTCAGGGCGTGGAGACCAGATGCAGTATTGACGCACTATGTGAGTTGTAAGGGACAGGGCGTGGAGACCAGATGCAGTATTGACGCACTATGTGAGTTTTAAGGGTCAGGGCCTGGTGTCCAGGTGCACTATTGGGGCACCATGTGAGTTGTAAGGGATGGGGCTTGGAGACCAGATACAGTATTGAAGCACTATATGAGTTGTAAGAGTCGGGGCGTGGAGACCAGATACAGTATTGAAGCACTATATGAGTTGTAAGCATCTAGATGCAGTATTGGGGCACTATGTGAGCTGTAAGGGACAGGGCGTGGAGACCAGATGCAGTATTGGGGCACCATGTGAGTTGTAAGGGTCGGGGCGTGGAGACCAGATACAGTATTGAAGCACTATATGAGTTGTAAGGGTCAGGGCGTGGAGACCAGATGCAGTATTGGGGCACCATGTGAGTTGTAAGAGTCGGGGCGTGGAGACCAGATACAGTATTGAAGCACTATATGAGTTGTAAGGGTCAGGGCGTGGAGACCAGATGCAGTATTGGGGCACCATGTGAGTTTCAAGGGACGGGGCGTGGAGACCAGTTGCAGTATCTGGGCACCATGTGAGATGTAAGGGACGGGGCGTAGCGTCTAGAAGCAGTATTGGGGCACTATGTGAGTTGTAAGGGACAGGGCGTGGAGACCGATGCAGTATTGGGGCACCATGTGGGTTTTGTGGGTCAGGGCGTTGAGACCAGATGCAGTATTGAGGCACTATGTGAGTTGTAAGGGACAGGGCGTGGAGACCAGATGCACTATTGGGGCACCATGTTGGTTGTGTGGGTCAGGGCGTGGAGAGCAGATGCAGTATTGGGGCACTATGTGAGTTGTAAGGGACGGGGCGTAGCGTCTAGAAGCAGTACTGGGGCACTATGTGAGTTGTAAGATACAGGGCGTGGAGACCAGATGCACTTTTGGGGCACTATGTGAGTTGTAAGGGTCAGGGCGTTGAGAGCAGATGCAGTATTGGAGCACCATGTGAGTTGTAAGAGACGGGGCGTGGAGACCAGATGCAGTATTGAAGCACCATGTGAGTTGTAAGGGACGTGGCGTGGAGACCAGATGCAGTATTGATGCACTATGTGAGTTTTAAGGGTCAGGGCCTGGTGTCCAGGTGCACTATTGGGGCACCATGTGAGTTGTAAGGGATGGGGCGTGGAGACCAGATGCAGTATTGGAGCACCATGTGAGTTGTAAGAGACGGGGCGTGGAGACCAGATGCACTATTGGGGCACTATGTGTGTTGCAAGGGACAGGGCGTGGAGACCAGATGCAGTATTGGGGCACCATGTGATTTGTAATGGACGGGGCGTGGAGACCAGGTGGAGTATTGGGGCACCATGTGGGTTGTGTGGGTCAGGGCGTGGAGACCAGATGCAGTATTGAGGCAGTATGTGTGTTTTAATATTTCCTCTCTTTTGTTAAATCTAATGGCCATCAGATGAAGGAAAACCAATATAGGTCAAACATAATCAATAATGACAGGACCATAGATTGCCTCTCACAGGAAAGGGTCGTTAATTTAAAGTTAACAATAGAGTCAGACAGGCCTTTTAACGCCCATTGAATACCCCCAGATGTGAGTGTTTATCAGATGGTAACTTTATGCCAGGTCCAACTCTGCCAGCATCCGGGTGGATCACGGAAACCGATGCAAACAACGTCGACTACGACACGGACTACGGAACATCCTCGTCATGCAGGGACAGCCGGGTCATTGTAGGACTTCTTGCTGGCATAGTCACTATACTCTGTAGCTGTTGGACCCCCTATTAGGCTCTCTACAAGACACTCTATAAAACATTTCATAGGAGATTCCATTACAGGCGCAAAGTGTGGTCAGACTTCTCAAGTGCCTCAATTTCTTGTGATGAGTTGCGTCCCTTACGAGTGCCAGCATCCTATGATCTTGAGTTCAATTCCCGTACTCGCCCTGATTATGTTCCTAGGTTTGTCAGCACTATATCCGTGCTCGTGGTTTCACCAAACTGGCAAATGTCTAAGACAATCATCACTGTGCGTTTTCCGTCCAAGTCCAAATCAAGGTGAACCGCCGTAATATGACTGAGTACCGAGAGTAGAATCAGGGACCGTAATTTGTCAGTCCTTGAAAATTTGATCGACTTCGTTCAACGCCAATGTGTTAACTCTACTTTTATGATATAGACCGATCTAACAGTTAATAAAATATATGCATTACACAAAGACATTGTCTCAGTTTCACATGGGTCATTCATTACAAGGAAAACCACCACCACAACCAAGAAATACTCGAGTACTAGTGGGCCATAAAATACGACGACACAATACTCGGATACAAGGCTGCGACTACATGAATATTCATCTACAAGGCCGCGACAACACGAATACTCATCTACAAGGCCGCGACAACACGAATACTCGTATAAAAGGCCGCGACTACCCAATACCCGTATACGAGGCCGCAACTACATGAATACTCGTATACAAGGCCACCACTACAAGAATACTCGAATACAAGGCCTCGACTACACGATAACTCGTATACAACGCCCCGACTACACTAATACTCGTATAAAAGACCGCGACTACTCGAATACTCGTATACAAGGCCGCGACTACCCAATACCCGTATACAAGGCCGCAACTACATGAATACTCGTATACAAGGCCACCACTACAAGAATACTCGAATACAAGGCCTCGACTACACGAATACTCGTATACAACGCCCCGACCACACTAATACTCGTATAAAAGACCGCGACTACTCGAATACTCGTATACAAGGCCGCAACTACACGAATACTCGTATAAAAGGCCGCGACTACACGAATACTCGTATACATGGCCGCGACTACACAACACTCCTATACAAGGCCGCGACTACACGAATACTCGTATACAAGGCCGCGACTACACGAATACTCGCATACAAGGCTGCGACTACAAGAATACTTGTACAAAATGCCGAAACCACACGAATACTCGTATACAAGGCTGCGACTACATGAATACTCGTATACAAGGCTGCGACTACAAGAATACTTGTATAAAATGCCGAAACCACACGAATACTCGTATACAAGGCCGCAACTACACGAATGCTCGTGTTCATGGCCGTGACTACAAAATACTCGTATACAAGTCTGCAACTATACGAATACTCCTATACAAGGCCGCGAGGTGTCACATCTTGAAGACGCGGATCTCGAAAACGTAATTTCCTGCAATCTGAGACCAAATTTTACCAGATGGGGCTACACAAATCTTGGCAAATATATATGCCAAGTCATCAATTTTAATAAGTGTAGCAAATTTGAAAAGCGATCATGACAAGGACCCCGTTTGAGAGATTCCATGCGTTGTTCAGAAAGTAGCATGTTACATAATTACAGTTGTTTATCCATTGAAGTGCAACTGGTCCAAGTGTCAGTTGTTAAACAACCCACTAGCGAGTGTAAATCTGGGAAGAATTTCTCTCCCTTATATTCATCATACATCAGCATCAGCAACATTTGTATCGTCGCATGGCTGGGGAGAATGTTCTGTGGAGTTAGCGGATTGCAGAGCTCTTTAAAACCTTCTCCTTCAACAACTGAAAGAGGACGAATTTGTTCCACCTGCATCAAAACATCCTTTTGAGTTTTATCTTGATAAACTGATTTGGACAGTGAATTAAAACATGAAATGACTTGTTGAATCAGGGATAGATTAACACTGCCCTTCATGAAAGGTGCTAATCCTTACGTTCAGTTACTAAGAGAGGTTAGCGCTTACTTTGGTTATGCTATGTAATGCCTGTGTGGTTTAATTTGGACATTCTGGCAATATCATTCAGTGTATTGTCTACACACTGTTTCTTTAAATGTCACGACAACATTCAAGTCGTAAGATGTGAATACTCGATTAGGCCTAGGTCTAATAGAATACAATTTTTACAATTGATTTCAGTAGAAATCTTAGCATAAAGACGTTTTCCCAAGCTGGTCTATATCCGTATAAAGTCATCTGGTATCTACACCAATTATTCCCCATTCACGTCAAAACCCCTCAGTGACCGTTTTTTTACGCAAGGGACGCCCTGTTTATGACAAGACATCCGCCTGTTGGAGGCGTGGCGATATTCGTCAGGAAATCTAAACAGTCCGAGGCCACACTACTCGGAACAATTGGCAGGGACCGTATATTAGGGCCGACAATTCACTATGAAGAACTGATCCATGCCATCGGAACACATCTGTCATCTTCCAATGTTCTTGACAGTGTGTGTGCTCTTGACCTTACCATGGCGATGCATGACCAATATTCACATGGAGGTGACAGTTTTCTCCTGGGGGATTTTAATGCAGATCTACGCACACATCTTCAACTCCCTAGAAAAGACGTGCGTCATGTTTACAGAGATCACTCCATGGTCTCATTTCCGTTGTTCCTCTAGACGGGCAGTCTCAAAATACGTTCTCAACAAAGTTTAATCCTCCGAGAACGCTCACTGATGATGTGCTTGGAATATAGATTACCTCCTTGTGTGACGGACCATATGATGGTTTAGTTTGGTTTGGTTTGTTGTTTAACGACGCACTCAGCAATGGTCCAGCGATGTGACGGCGGCCTGTAAATAATCGAATCTGGAGTCAGCGAGCCTTACCACCCGATCCCGTTAGTCGCTTTTACGACAAGCATGGGTTGCTGAAGACCAATTCTAGCCCGAATCTTCACGGGTATGGAAGTCCATATGATGGACTTTAGTGTGCCCTACAGTGTGTCTGACCACTTGCCTACAGTAGTGTATCTCTATGTAGTCGGGTCCAGAAAACACAATGGTGACAAGATTACCTGGAAGAATGCAAGCAACGTTGACTAGATGATATATCGGTATCAGATTGAGAACCGTCTTCGAGAGACTTGTGTTGAGATGTCTCTGGAGGAATAGATCAACTCTTACAACGACTGTATCGTACATGCACTGAAAGACTCCTCAAACAACAGAATACTGTGCTCAACATATCCCGTGTACCTTAAACAACATTGGTAAAAAGACGACATAAAACCTCTCCATAACGAGAAGAGTGAGTGAGTTTGATTTCACGCCGATTTTTGCAATATTCCAGCAATATCACGCCAGGGGACACCAGAAATGGTTTTTATACATTGTTCCCATGTTGGGAATTGAACCCGGGTTTTCATCGTGACGAGCGAACGCTTTAACCACAAGGCTACCCGACTGCTCCCATATTGAGAAGATGTCACTCGGAAAAACTTCACGATACGGACGATGAACGCTATAGAAAGTACAAAGAAGCAAGACGTGAATCAAAAGATATCAAAACATTGCTCTCTTGACAGTCTGGTTTAAAATCTGTTAATAATCCAGTGGTGAAATTCATAAATTGCACACAAAAAGATGATGATGCACATCATCAGCATCCAGCTGCTCATAGATATTATTATGTATTGGTTTGAGTGTGAGTGAGTGAGTTTGGTTTAACGCCGCTTTTAACAGTATTCCAGTAATATCACGGCGTGTCAGCTTAATGTGTGAGGAAATCCCGAAGTTATGCAGGTCTTAGACGTTTACCATTTCGGTGAAACCCACGAGCACGGGCATGGTGCTGACAAACCTAGAAACATAATCGGGGCGAACCGGGATTCGAACCAACAATCATAGGTTTCTGGCGTGTCCAAGGGACGCAACGCTGCACAGCGAATCGCGGCACCTCAGAGGACTGGGCCACCCGTGCCCCCCAATGATGTTGGGAACACAACAGAAGTAGCGAAACAGTCATTGTGGACTTCAGGTTAATAAAACTCGACATTCACTAGCGATGCTGTCTAAATCCGTGGAAAATGAAGGTAAAGTGAATTGGTAAAATTTATTCAGTGATAGGCACTTTACTAGGTTCATGTATATGCGCAATTGGCGAACGAGTTTGCTATGTATGTACAAGTCCTTCTAAAGCAGTTATACATAAGGATAGATAGCTATAGATATGACTCAAATTTAAAACTAAGCCCAGTTCTTAAAAATAAAGGTAGAAACTAATTGATCTGAATTATCTTAAAGAAATACTGAAAGGTTTCTAACCTCGGCATGGAACACGTACCATGCCTTCCGTCAGTTTACAACACTTAACTATAAAACAGTATTTTACAAGAAGTCAATAAATATTAAACAACTTTTGAGTTATTCCAACTCCAATTCCATTTCAAGCCTGTTGCCTTGGAGACAAAAAAGTTCAACATAATATTGTTACAAAATCACAGATAATCGAAGACATAAATGTGATGTTTCCTGTGTAACGCCACACTAAGCAATATTCCAGCTATATGACGGTGGTCTGCAAATAATCGAATCAGGGCAGACAATCCATTGATTGACATCATGGGCATCGATGGTATACGATGACATGAATCAACCAAGTCAGCGATCCTAACCACCCGATCCCGCCATTCGCCTCTTACCACAAACGTAGTCGTCTTTTACGGCAAGCATGGGTTGCTGAAGACCTATTCTACACCGGCTCTTCACGGGTCAGATATATATGCATACATGTTATACAATCTCTGTGTATACATAAATCTTATAAGAAACAAGTGTACAACAGTACAGGAAAGTTAACCAATATTTCCACAATAACCAGGGGCGGTGGGGTGGTCCAGTGGTGAGAGCATTCACTCGTCAGACCACTAACACTGGTTCGATTCCACACATGCATGGGTAAAATGTTTGAAATTTCTGGTGTCCCCTGGCGTGATTTTGCGGAATGTTGTTTCAAGAGGCGTAAAACTACACTCGCTCACATATCAATAGTCATTGAAACATGCTTTGACTATGTTCAGGAGTTTCCTCCGTGGAAGCGAATGTAAGGAAACAAAGTCCCACTCTCATTGTTGTTGTGAAATTCCCTAAAGAAATGCTGGAGGCGCCTTTAAACATACATTTGATATTTTTCCTAAATACACTCAATGAATACAACATATTTAATATCAAACGAAAAAAACGTCACTCAATTACCAGTAGTTCAAAATTATCAACGCCAAAGGCTCTAAATAGACATGATGCGGCAATGTTGATTGTGGCACTATTTTCAGTGAGTAAGTGAGTATGGTTTTACGCCGCAATAATATAGGAGGTGGACACCTGAAATGGGCTTCACACATTGTACCCATGTGGGGAATCAAACCTGGGTCTTCGGCTTGACGAGCGAACGCATTAACGACTC